TATAACTAATACAAGCATTGCTGACATGATTCTTTCCTTATATCTGAGTAAAATGACTTGTGGCAGCTAATCTAAGTAATTATGGGCATTGCCGCATTTTATAGGTCAAAACTGCATTAAAAATTAAAATGCGCATGACTCTTTCGGCCTTACAAAATAAAAGTAATTCTTTGGTTAGAATACTAATTGCGATGCTATTACGTATATCACTAAGGTTGGTGCATTGTCAACTAGACCAATCGGGAGCGATGGGGCTGACGTTGGTCTTGACCAGTCTTTGAAGCGGCTCTTCATTTTCCAGTAGACTTTGTTAGTGTGATCGAGGAAATAGGAAATGGCTTTTCCAGTGATTTATTTTGTGCCCTACCCAAATAGTTTCAGCATTTGCCGTAACTTATACTGGGCTTGAATGCTTGCGCTTCACCTTCTCTTGCTTTGTCTTTTATGCACCCCTGTCAGTTATTGTTGAAGTACACTTTTTCTCGGCTTAACTCTGGAGCTCCTCTAATGATTTTCATAATCTTTTGCCAGTATGTTCTTTCACATCGTGCTAATAGAACTTGGAGTTTATTTCGTGTTTACAGTTATACATGCATGTGTCCATGCGTTTTGTGGTTATTAAAGTTTGCACAACTCATTTTGACAAGTAGTTGGGGCGTCTTTTATCTATAGTCGGTTCACTGCCTTTGATAAAACGAGCTAAATACATGTTACTCCTTTAGCGCTTATTACCTCATCTTTCTACGTTTTTGTAGAACATGCCATTTATGCCCCAATAAGGCCAAGATGGAGCTTTTTATCGTAACATTGACGGGGACTGCGTTTGAACTCCGCGTTTCCCCCAATGATACTGTTATGTCAATTAAGTCGAAGATTCAGCGTTTTGAAGGTATACGCACCATAGTAATTTTCACTTAAACTTGCTGTTTCGGTTGATATTATCCACTTCCATTCATTCTAGGCATCCCTGTGGGCCAGCAGCATTTGATCTGGCAAAACGGTGAACTTTCTGATCACCAGTCTTTACGAGATTGTAGCATCCCTGGTGGTGCTACATTGCGCCTTGTTCTGGGTATGAGAGGTGGTCCGATTAGCACCTATAGGCCACCACCTGTTGCCGCAGCGACCGCCACAATCAGATTTACTCCTACCGTTCACTTCGCCCCTTCTGTACAAAATACTGCCGACCGGAGCGACGGCAACGAAGACACCCAATCTCCCATTCCTCAGTCATCCCTTATAAATGAAAACGATGGAAATTCTGAAGGTCAAAAGCAAATAACACTTTACTTTGTAAACACTAGCGATAGGCTCGAATTTATGCGAGTCGTTGGTCGGTAAGTGCTTTTACCTCGAGAAACCTATTTTATTCTAACGATTCAGTCATTGATTTATTGTTTCGTATTCCCTCAGTCGTCATCGCGAAGATGCTCCCTCGAATGATCACTCCAAAACTTCCCTCCCCAGTTCAGAGGAATCCACGGAGCCACCACTTCTGGCAAGCTCGAAATCACCTGTTCCGAGCAATCTCGTCTCTACTTCCGCCGCTGCTCAATCACTACCATATCTACAAACTGATGAGTCTGCGCTCAATTGTGAACAATTAGCACAACTCGCTTCAACTACCTCCGAGCCCTCTGTTCTGAAGGCAGCTGACTCACAAAAGTCCCTGGATCGTCAGGCCTCTTCATCTCCAACCCCCGCTACTGCTATAATCGCTGGGTACCTCTGCGCTGCTCATGGTCGTGACTCCAATGCGTACGTTTCCGACACTGACGATTGCCTTTCTTCGGACTGTGGTGTCGGTGGAAGCGGAAGCGGTACTTACTTCCTTCGTCCACCCTCCCCTGAATGGGATAGTCGGGATCTTGGTTCCTCGCCTCCCCCACCTCTACTGCATCCCGTTTTCGATTTCCCGTTTTTGGGTGGAGATGACGGTGAGGATGATGACAGTCTGGCGGATTTGGAGGATTGCCTGATCTACTATCGATCGGGCGATGTGTTATTTGGTCCTCCTTCTGCGCGCAAAAGTTCCTCCACATCCTTCCTCCGTGGCGGTTGGAGGGGCGGATGTGGTGACGCTGAATCGCCGACCGTAACGCAAGCCAAGTTGGAGGAGTGTGAGTCGTTGGTAGAGAAAGTGAAATCGATAAAGGCTCAGCTCTTGCAGAAGAAGGAAGAACGAATGCAGCGCAGAATGCGTCAGCGTAAAAGTGAGGATAAGGGAGGGGAAGCTGGGTCTAACAAACCTACTAAAGAGGGATTGAACTCCTCTTGTGGTAAGTTCTACAGTACTTCATATTACAAGGGATTTACTCCGTTAGGTGCATGTGCGCGTCTGCACACACACTTGTTAGTCATTCATATGTTTACAAATTCGTGTTTCCCTCCATCCCCTCTGGACATCATGTTTAGCAACGCATTCACTCTATTTACTGTTTTTTTAAGAAAGACACATAAATACCTGTTAAATGCGTCGATAGTACTTTAGGTAATGACGGCTGTTTGGTACTGTCGATGAAAGATCTTTTGGTCGAAGGGATGTTCAAATGGTTTCCCTCAAAAGCGCACGTACTTTAGTAGGGTCCAATTTGCTTGGAATGAGGTCATTTGAGCCCGATATTTGTGAGATGAGACATTGAATGTTTTGCATACAAACCTCGGTGTTTTCTCTTGCATCTGGGCCGAATTTACCGATCTCTATTACAAATGCATTCAATCTGAGCGTCAAGAATGCGGAAATTATCAGAATATCGAACCTTGCCAGGTAACTGGTCTGGTTTTTGCACAGTCATAGATTGGCAGCCGGTGGTGCTGCATCAACTAAGTTCGATTGCGAACGCTTGTGCATGAAGTGATCATTTTACTGCCTTCTCTTGCGAAGTCCGCTGTCGACTTTGCATCCAGTTTCACCAATGCTTAGTGGATCGCTTTTGGGAATGCATCTAATAGTGCTTAATGCGTTCGGATACTTTAGTGGACCTTCGCTTACTATAGTTTTCTCTCCTGTATACTTGGGCACACAGAACAAATCCATGTTCGTCAAGCGACTCAACTACTGTTCTTATCGACGCAAGCTTTTTAACAACATGCAAGTAGCTTTCTTCGCGTCGGCTGAATTTTGGTACGGCGTGCTAGGTCAGCTTTTTTGCCTTTTAAGCTCCGTGACTATGCCTTGCCCTATTAATTAGCGGGGCCTCTGCGTTGGTTCAACGTATCATGATACCTTCGCACATCTTAGACATTAGCTTTTGTTGCACCACATTTTACATCAAATTTAATCATTTTAAAACCTTTTTATAGCTGGGCTAGGCTTTTTACCATATCTGTGTTTGTTACTGCACACTGCTGAACAAAGGTTCAGTTTCGGCACCGCTTTTGTTACTTCACAGAGCATGATAAGTGGGGAA